TCTTGCGCCACCTTCGGCATGCGGACGTGCCCGCCTATGTTTTCTTGGACAACAAGGCTCTGGTGTTGCGCCTACGGAGGGGGCTACATGCCTGTTCTTGGGCCGGCTCCAATCCTGGGTTTTGGACTGCTGTTGCCGACGTTGTGCGTGAGAATTTGCAAGTGCAATGGGTGCCCTCACACGGCAAGCAGCTGAGGTGGCAGGCTGACAATCCTGCCCACACCGCCTTGGCTAGGACTCTCAACGGTGAAGCCGATGCGCGCTGCACTTCGCTGCTTACGCCGCTGCGGGCCGCTTGGCAATCTGCTTGTGACCGCTACGACGCTGCCGTCGATTGGGGCGGCGCTGCCTTTGATGCTCAGCATGAGGCCACTGAGCCTTATCACGACTTGATGAAACGTGCCATCGGAGAGCTCCGCACCGCGTGACGCTCCTTGGCTCCCTTTTGACCCCTTTCGGTTTAGTCCTTCTCCCTTTTGGTTCCCCCTTAGGCTGCCTTGCGAAGACCCAATCTGTCTGAAGCCACTGCGGGCCGCAAGTCTTTTCCTTTGGGGCGTTTGGTTTTGCCCCTGACTTTAGGCTAGGCTTTTGTCAACGGACGGGGCCCAGTGTCATGTTTTGGCACTCGTGGTCCCAGCTCGCCTATGACTACTCCCCTGCGCTGGAGCAGGGCACAGCAATGAGGAGAGCTGCGGCTCTCCGCCCCGGAGGGCGTCTAAACTACCAACCTTCGGGTACGGTGCAGGTTGACGTACAATGCATGAATGAATGAATGAATGGACCTGGAGCAGCAGGGGGTGGTGCCGCCTAGAACGAGCCGCGCGCGAGCTGTCGCCAAAGAGCGCTTGGATTCTGATCCAGAGCGAAACATCAATTGAAGTTGTTGGGACAGTATTGTCCTTTTTCAGTGGCCCCGTTGGGGAAGGCGACTTCGAGATCAAGGAGGATCGACAGAAGCTGGCTCCAGTGATGCGGCAGGTCGTGGTGCAAAAGCTGCTTCATTGCCTGCGAGTGCGCGACATGCCCGGATTCCGGCGCCACCTCAACCTGCAGACGGTCCACCTGCGAGGGCTGGAGATCGAGCCAGTGACCGGTCTGCTTCCCAGCCCTGCGGGTGGTGATGATGTGGTGGTGGAGTTCCTACACCAAAACGGCTTGAGAAGGGTCGGTGAGGTGGACAGCGCAGGGTGGTGGCCTCTGCACTACGCAGCATTGGCCGGCAATGCAGAGGTGCTGAGAGGGCTGCTGGAGAAGCGGGCCAACGTGAACCGGCG